TAAGACAAATTGGTATAAGAATAACAATAGGGAAAAAAAATCTTTGTTTTTGCCGATGTTTCGTCTTCCAACTTTATCGAGGCAAACAATGAAAGTGAAATGTTTTTGTTATCATAGTTACATTAAATCCAAAATTTAAAAGAGGCTTCTGCATAAATGATATAAGCAGTTTCAAATTTGACATTTTTGAATAACAGTCCAATAACTCTGTAAAAAGTCAGGGATCAATTTTATAATGTATTTATATCATGAACAGGACCCCCCCCTTCTAAATTGATTAAAAAAAACAATCTCCATTTTTAATTTCTGACAAATGTTGTGATTTGAGGATGATTTATTGAATACCAATCTACAAAAATTTTCCCCTTTTTAATTTTTTTTAAACAAGTGGACCAATCTATTTAACTAGTACCATTCATAGGCTTGATCAATAAGAGACTCTGATTTTAGTAGAGGGTGGTGTATGATTGAACTATAAGTTAAATCATATTACACTTTTACAAAAACTGGATCAGTTGTTTCATAAAACCTAAAGCAGAAAGATGTTCCAAGAAACTATTTAATTTTCCCCATGGTAGGTTTGTCACAAGTAACCCGAAATCCATGCATGTAGATATGGTAATAGTGCTAGACATTATCTAGTTCTGTAAGCACTTCTCATTTTAGGATCTCAGAAACATTAGTTATTGACCCTTCTCTTTTAAGTGCAATGAGGTTGGGTTGGCTGGGTGTAGTGACTATGCCCTTAAGCTGATCTTTGGTTAATTTGCACTTCAGGTCTTATAAAAGGCCTAAGAAATGCTAAGGATATGTCAAGAAGGTTGCAATAGCAGACTTTGTTTACTTTCAATTTAAATTTCCATACAACTCTCTGAATTTTACTTCAGACTACTTATATTCACACTTAACAGTAATGACCCTCCCCCCCCTCTCTCTCTCTCTCTTTTATATACATATATATATATATTGCCAGATATCTTGATAAAACTCTCTCTTCAAATAGCATGGCAATGCTGCTTTGATGCAAAGTAGTTTAGTTAGTTTCCATGACTATCTTGGCATCCAGACAGTTGTAAGAAGAAAAAAATCTGTTGCATTCACTGTCTACCTTGACAGGTCCAAATCAGTCCATTCTTTTGTTTGGTTTTAAACTATCATGTATTTTGATATTGGATGAATAAGAAAAACATTGATAAATCTTAAATTTGTCTCCTGTTCCAAAAGGATGGCTGAAATTTTTGGACACACCGTGAGGAAAAATAGTTTGGAAAATTTGGCACTCACAGGGTATATTTAAGGTAAAAGTGACAAGGAAAGATAGCTACCTGATGAGTTTATAGATGTTGGTACTGGCAAGGATGGCAAAGGGACAAGTATTACTGAGAGTAACAAGAAATAGGAGGTTGGTGGAGAGCCATGATTGCCTATACCCTGAAGGGAAATGGCACAAGAAAAGGTTTTCATTAAATATTATTTACACATTACTTTTGGATGTTTTTTGTTTTTTATTTATTTTTTTTTTCTTCATAAATTTGATCCTGCTATTGGAAAAGTAAACAAGTCCATATGCAAGATATATTTATGTAAGATCATAGCTTAAGTATTGTGTGTGTGTGTGTGTGTGTGTGATTTTTTTTTTTTTTTTTGTTCTTCTCCCAATGCAATTGATAATTTGTTTACAGTCAGGCGTTTGTTACCTCTTTGCTCAGCCTTGTATATAAAATAAGATTTGCCTGTGTTCCCTCCTTTTTAAAATGTCAACATGTAGCAAACAGGTTAGCCATCATTTCTGCTTCGTTGATTTTTGTAGCCACTTCACTTGGCTAAGGGAAGAAAAAAAAATCCATCATTTTTTTTAGCACTACTCTCACTACCCTTTATTCTCATGTGTTTTTGTTGGATTTTTCACCTCCCCCTTGTTATTCCTTCCATGTATCCAAAAAGTTTTCTACAGTTGAAATCCTCTTACTCAATTTTTATTGTTACCTTTTTTGCTATGATATACTGCAAAACAAATCAATGATATTTTTTTAGTCTGAACTCTCGTCTGAATATTATTTGCAATGGGCTGATTATTGCATTTCTATGTTTGATTTCTTGTTTTACTATATAAGAATATTTAAGCTTCTATTTATACATATTTTGTATTTTACTGTTTAGATATTATCTGAGATCAGAATGAATGTTTGCCTGTGTTTCTTCAAAGTGACATTCAGTCTTCCTGGTTTCAAAAATCCATTTTTAATGTTGGAAATGATCTGCTCATAATTCTTGATTCCTTAGTTCAAACTTTCCTTTCCTTTTTAAGGGATTTGATAGTTAATCAGGAAAAGTTTAGTTCTACTTGCATAATGATTACTAAAAATATAGAAATATTTAGTTTAGTCAAGAGTCTCTTGGTTTAGCAGAGGGCTGGTTGTTTTCTTTTGTTTTATATATATATATATATAATTTATATAAAAATTATAACATAAGTAAACATACTTATGTTATAATTTTTTTATAAATAATTATATCTGCTCTACTTTGTATTGAGCACTCTTTTAAGAATAGTAATTGTTGGTTATTGGAATTCATTCTGTATATACCAATTATATACTTGTGTTGTGTGTATATATATATATATATATATATATATATATAGGCACAGGAGTGCCAAACAAGCTGTTTACTGTTTTTTTTTTTTTTATAAATTATTATTATTATGGAAAAGTCCTTTTTGCTCTTCGATATATGACTGCATGTCTCAGTATAAAGATGGATTTTACATCCCCAACTTGATATAAAGACAATATTCTGAAATGAGCTTGATATTTGTCATTCTGATCATTACTAAAAGATCATTACTAAAGCAGTTTATTACACAAAATTGAGCCATTCTTATATCCCAGTATATTGTTATCAACCAATCGGCAGAAGGTTCGTATAAATTTCTTTAAAATTTAAGCATTCATTTTTGAATTGGCATAAACAATAGAATATTCTAAGGACTTCAAAACAAAAATTGAAGTTTGATTCTTGAAAAGGCTATAAAAATATTTTTGTTGTTCATAAATGTCTAGAGATGTGTTCTGTATCAATGCTTGCAAGTAAAATCTCAGAGAGTTTCAATCAAATCCAAAATTGAATGTAAAAAGATATGCAGATGGACCTCTAAAATGCTTAAACAGATGTACGTCTGAACATAGATAATTGAACTGATAAGGATTTTATTGACTACAAGAAAAAAAGTCAAATGTAGATAAAATCTCATTATTTACTAAAATGCTTTTTGGCAGCATGGATAATGTAATGGTCATCAGCACAAAAAGCAAAATTCAATTCCCACTTTATTTTGTTTACTTCACACTAATACTCTTGGAAAAGCCATGAATTCATCCTGCTCTAGCTATGGCTCTCATGCCTTAGGTAACAACCTGTCTGGGAGAATGAAAACTCTGGATTCAGGATCATTGTGAAGATGGATAAACTCTGTCAGGCTGTCCTGCACAAGACACACCTCTGCTGCTATTGCTGCAATACATGTAAATGTGCTTACAACTCTAATTGTTTATTGGACTCATGACAAAGAAAATGATTTTGGATCAGCTGAATGATTTCATGGAATACAGTTATTTGGTCACATGGTGCAAAAATAGTCATTATAGCCAGCCATGATAGATTTAGATAAAGGGTTGCTTTGGTATTGCAGACATTCTGGGTATGATAAACTACATCTGGCAGCAAGCCCCCCGCTCTACAATATATATATATATATATATATATAAAAAAAGAAGAGGTGCAAACGTTTTAGTTGTAATGTGTTTTTTTTTTTTTTTTTTTTTTTTTAGAAAAAATATTATGCTTTATTTTCCATAAGCATAATTTTTTTTTTTAAAAAAAAAAAACACATTACAACCAAAAACGTTTGCAGCACCTCTCTTCTTCTTTTTTAATATACACACTTTTTCTCGTTGGAACCACTACAACCTCTTTTCTTATATATATATATATATATATATATATATATATATATATATACCTACCTATGTACAAAATATCTAATTGAAAGCATAAAATTACATATAATAATCCACAGAAGTTGATGTGTTGCCAAACAAAATCAACCAACCATGGATTTTAGAGGGAAATGGTTTCATAAAAATATATCAATCAGTTGTTTTGGTAAATTTATCTTCTGCTATCCATCTTAGACTTGGTAGGCAATTCCTCTTCCAACAGGACAACAATCTGAAACCTATTTCAAAAGACTCCTGAGAATAACTTAATAAGTTTAGAGTATGACCTTCTCAATTATTCTGGCACAAATCCAATTTGTGACATGAATTGAAAATTTCTGTTCATGAACAGAAACCATCAACTCTGGATAATTCTGTATAGAAGAATAGTGAAAAAAATATTATGAGATGCAGAAGATAGAAATCAACCTGTTGACCAAGTGTTATCTTTGGGCAATCTTGAAACTCTGCAATATGTAGGTTTTCTTTGCTTCCATCCCATGAACCTTGGTGTATATATGCCAGTATAAAAATAGGCCAGTTTCTTTGCTTGTTGTTCTGCATTAGAGATTCTTCCTTTTGGATTATACCTGAAGAGCGCTGAGCAGCAGAAATACAGATTTGAAAATTTATGTTGGAACTTTTTAGATGATTGTATACCTTGCTATTTGGTTCAGCAAGCTAGTCCAAATAGTTGGGCATATAAGAGATTTGAGTATCTGAATAACTTTGTATAACCAAATAGGTACTTTTGCAGCCCAGAATCTCTTCTACTATCTTTGGTTAACTTATGGGATTAGATTTTAGCAAAATGATAAAATTACAAAAGTTGACACAATCAGTTCAGGCATCTTGGAATTTGTTGGGGGTGCAGATAAAAATTCCTTTCAAATTTAAAATATTTTCTCAACTAAAATTTCTGAATATGTGAAGCATTTTCTTTGCAATTCAGGTTGACTACCAGATAATTGTCAGTTAATTTGTTACTTTCAGCCATTTATGATGATTTCAGAATATTTTCAATATATTTCTCTCTTTTTTTCCTCTTTCTCTCTTTTTTTCCTCTTTCTCTCTTTTTTTCCTCTTTCTCTCTTTTTTTCCTCTTTCTCTCTTTTTTTCCTCTTTTTTTCCTCTCTAATGTCATTACTATTTAATTTTCTAAATTTTCATATTGTTTTTAAAGTGTTCTTATTTCCTGCCATATTACTGAGGAATTGTTTCCAACCTAGTCTCACAAACCATTGTACTTATGAATTCTGTGCTCATTGCAAACTTGCACGAAACTCAGCTGAGTAAATATTTTCTTTTTGTTCAGTTCTTTGTCTTCTTTCAATTCAAAACACTGTGATTGGTAAAGTGTTTATTTCTTACTATCACCATAACAGTTACATCATCTTTCAGAAACTTCTCAATCACAATTGTTATCTTCTCTTTGACTATTTCATATTTTAGTTTTAATCAATAACAGACCTGAATAGAAATACACCTTCTCTCAAGGAATTGTAGAAAATGGCTAAGAACAAATTGTGGTTCTTCTTTGGAAAATGAATGAAAGCGCATTAAATATTTGGAGTTATGCTTAGATTTTTCTTTTCTTAAAATCTTGCAAAATGAAGAAAATATTTGAGTTAAATCAAAAATTTATTTTCTTAAATCGGTTGCAATAAGTATTTCTTGTTTTTCATCATTCACCATTTTGTTTATTGTATAATTTATGCACAATACAAATATCAGTAAACTAGACAAAATTCTATATTTAATTGGAGACGGGTGACTAACTTTTGTTAAATTCAAATCTTTTCCTTAATTTTTTCCTTGATGTTTACTTAATATGGTACAAGATCAAAGTTAATTGGAGGAAGATGATTTTGTACTGACTTTTGGCTAACCTTCCTTGAAAATCATCATTCTTAATTGTGGCTTTTTACCTTGGTTTAAAAGTCATTGTCATAATAAACTGTCTTTTCTGATGAAATCAACCAGTTCCCCTAATGGTGAATGGGTTCTTGTGTGACTAATAAAACCAACGAGAATGGCACACTTTCCTGCAAGTAAGATATCTGAAAAGACCTTGAATGGAAATAAAAGAAAGATTCTGCATGTAGTCTTTAACAGCATTCCACTGCTTGCTGGACCAACTTCTGTGGTATTGTAAAGCAGCAAACAACTCCATCCTCAAATAAATATCTTGGGAATGTGGCCATTTTCATAGATCTTTTCAGTTAGATTACACTCTCTACACTAGCAAATTGACTTGTGAGAATAGTTTGCTGAATGCATTTGATATTTTAGTGACTATTTAACTTAATCTGGTACAATGTTATAATAATCAGAGTGGGGGGTGGACACAATGAAGCTTAAACCAACAACGATGATAAATTGGCTGGTATAGAAGTTTCAACTGTCTGAGCGAGATTATGTACATTACATAATTGAAAAGAAATTTATTTCATGCAAGATTAAGAACAAAACAATGTTAAAGAACCTCTAAATAATAATGTTTTTGTTTTAACAATCTCTTTCCATATCAGGACAAACAAGATTCCTTTTGATTACTTATGTCTTCTTTCTTTGGAGTTTAAAAAAAAAATAATGAGGTCTTTGCTTGTTTTCTGGTAAAATGTTTTTTTATGAAGGATTAAACATCGGCATTGGAATGCATTTGTAACTGTTGTTGCACTTGTATATGACACAGACTCGTCTGCAATTTCAAATGGTCACACCCTACTCCCTTACTCTAGAGACCTGAAGCAAGATGGTGAATGCATTTCAAATATTGATGCCTAATCATATTAATTCCAAAGTCACTTGCAAAATCTATGCAGACATTTTATGGATTTTTTTTTCCCTTTCATATTTCTCCTGCTGTGTTATTTCAGTTTTGGTTACAAGATGTTCTCCCCAAGTCTTTATAAAATGTGTTGATGATTCAGCACTCATTCATAATTTTTTTTTCTTTTAACTTTATTCTTTCAAAAGTTATCTCTCCTTGCCACTTTGCCATCGTTATTGGTTGAAAATAATTTCTGACATTTGTATTTTTGACATTTTTGGTGACTATTGGTTGTAAAATTACAGAATGTTACAACAAAAATAGACTGAAACAAAATAATTATATAAAACAAATTTTACTCTGAACTATTTTTTTTTTTCTAAACTTACAAGGTGAAAATGTAAAATAAAAAAACATATCAAACCTTTTTTCCCAAAACAGAAAAACATAAATGAAGATACTTAAATTAACAGAAGAGATTTACTTTAACAAAATACAAATGTGCATTGATTTATGAGAATTCCAAGGTTTACGTTTAGTTTTTTTACTATTTTTATAAAGTAATAAATACTATTGAAAATTTTGTTAATCATATTTCCTGACAAAAACACGTCTATGAAAATCAGATTTTCTTTATGGAAAATTACAACAGTTGACTACTTTTGTATGAATTGAATGTAAATGCTAATTCCATAAAATAAATCCTGGAATATTATACAAAATTTATAATTCTATATCTGAAATTTGAATTGCTACAATAAAATTTTGTAAAAATTTTATTGTTTAGTAGATTTTAACGTAAGAGTGACAGATTTCTCTTTTTTTTTCTTTTTTTTTTTTTTTAAAGAAACTTTTAAATTCAAAAGTTGTATAATTTTTCTTTGTTTCAAAATTGATTGATCCATCTTAACAATTGATCAATCATTTGGTATTTAAAAATGTATCTTTGTCTTTGAGTTGCATCAAGGGTGGTAAATTGTTTTTTGTTTGGGGAGCAGCATGAAAAATAGGATAAACGCTTTGAATTCTTTGTCTGAAAAGGCATGAATCTACATGTTCATACATTATTTCTCATCATCACTCTGTCTTGTGCAGTGGAAATTGATGCTTATCTTCTCTTCAATTAACATTTTATTGTTTATATACAACCAGTAGGAAAGAAGAATTTCATACCTGGTAGCACATTTCTCATGCAGCTCTTATGAAATGCCAGTGACAAGACTTGTGTCTGGCCATGGGACAGAGTACAGGATAAGGTCTACTCATCTCTTTCCCCAGAGGCATTAGGGCAAAGTTAAGCATATAGATTCAGCCAGAAATTGAAACTCTGCTTGATCCCTTTCACATAATAGTAATGCCATTTCCACTTTAAACTAGATGTGTAGGTGTTGTAATGGTTAGTGGCTCTGTGTGGGGAAATTGGAGAGCCATGTTCAAATTCCAGTCTGGTTTGTTACATTTAGTTATGGACAAATACCCTTATGAAAGGTATGAATCCATCTCTCTACCATCTATGGGTTAAATAGTAGGGCTTGTATCTGGAATATTCATTGTTCTTAAAATATTGTTAATATAATATTCACTTGGAAAAAAGAATTATTCTTATAATGCAAAAATATTTTGTCTTTAAATACCCCATAATTGTTTGATAAGCTGTAAAAAAAAAAAAAAAAATTCTCAATCATATCAATTTATAAAATCTTATCACTTTTCTTGTAAATAATAAATCGGGTATAACCGAAATACTTCCCACATATTTCTAAGACATTACTGGCAATGGTGTCTTCACCTAGCTAATGTCTCCTCATTATGTAGGAGGTATTTCTACCATACTCTAGTCTATACATACAAATTTTCCTCTAATATACAAACTAAATCACTTTCATTGTGCCCACTTTTATTTTAGTCATTTTATTTTTCTAAAAATGTAATTGATACATTTTAAGCTCTGAACAAAACAGTGTCCACTTTTATGTGCATAAAAATAGTAATTTTAAAATAGTCAATTAGTCATAAATTGGAAGATGCTATGTAATGAATAATACTACTTCACATGTACTATTCTTTAAAAAATCAAAGATGGCAGAAATTTTTAATTTTACAATTGCATTGTATTTTTTAATTTTTTATTTATGCCTGACTAGCATTAATAACCTGTCAAAGCTGAGAGGTCAATTTCTGTATAGATCAGCATTATATCCATTTTTATTCACTCTATAAAAATTGTCTGTTATTTTGCAATCCAAAAGAATTCAGTTTAAAAGTAAAAATATCCAAGGAAAGTTAGCCTGAAATAAAAAGCATTGGAGCAACCCGGTCTTGTTATGGTAACTTCAAATAGTGAGTTGTTAACATAAATAACCACATAACTTATGTGAAATAACAAATCACATTGTGTCTTGTATTATAGATTATTTTTTAATTTGGTGCATACAATTAATATCTGTTTCATTAGCCCTTGTTAAGGGAGAACATATGGTAAAAAATGGTAAAAAATTGCTTTTAATATAGTCTTTTTTTTTTTTTTTTTTCCCTGAACTAATTTCCTTTTTTGTTTTCTTTCTTAGGTGAGTAAAAACTTGCAGAAACAGTTGGTGAGTCACTTTTTGGACTTTGATATTAGTTTTTTTTTTTTTTAATGCCTGTATTTTTAGAAATTTGTCACAATATTTTCAACATGTGAAAACAGGTTTGTTTGTTTTTGTTTTTTTCTTCTTCTTTTCTTCCCCCTCCCCTCATCAGTTATATATTTGAGATTTAAATTTAGATTTGTCTTGGTGTCTATTTGACAATAATTTGTTGCTGAACTTATATTTCACAAAACATTTTTTCGCTTGTTCTTCAAAACTCACTAATCATTATGAGATTAAGAATGGAATAATTGAAATGTCTACTACCAGAATAAAACATGAAAGTTGTATTTTTATGTATTTTCATTATTATCATCATTAGTAGTAGTAAAAATTGTTTCTTAGGTAATAAGTTTTTGTATTATAACAAGGATAAGTAACTTTTCCTTATAGATATACAATCTGATTTTGTGTTAATTCCACATGTTAATCTATTTTAAACCATGAGACACAAAGTACATACAAATATTTCTCATCAAGCAATTATATATATGAAGAAATATAGTTTTACGGTCTGCTACATTTATGGGATAAAGTGCTCAATATCAGAGATAGAGCATTATTAATATAAAAGTGAACATTCAGAGGCAACAGGATGTTTCATGCTGGATGCAATTGTTGACTTCAATGTTCACTATATATATATATATATATATATATATATATATATATATATATACACACACAGTGGGGGGAAATAAATATTCGTACACTTGAAAAAATGTATTTTTATAAATGTAAAAGCCTTTAACTAAAACAAATTTTGATACATTTTATGTGTAAAGATACATTTTATTAAAAAATAGTAATAAACTTAATTAATTCTTATTCTAACAGAAATTAAAGCATTTTTTCATTTTAACTGATGAAAAAAGTATTCGTACAAAACAAAAAGAGCATATTAACTTAATTTAATACATTGTGGAATATCCTTTATTGAGTTCAACAGCTACCAGTCTATTCCTGTACATCTCAACTAATGATTTGCACACATTGAGTGGTATTTTGTCCCATTCTTCTTGGCATATTGTCTTCAAATTCTTCATATTTGTTGGTGCTCTTTTCCCAATTTGAATTTTCAAATATCGCCATAAATTCTCAATTTGTTCAAGTCTGGGGACTGACTTGGCCATTGCAAGACATCAATGTTACTTTCAGCTAACCATTTCCTTGTAGATCTAGCGGTATGCTTAGGATCATTATCCAGTTGGAAAACCTAATCAGGAGGTAGCCAAAGTCTCTCAACAAAACGCATTAAATTGTCTTGCAGGATTTTCTGGTAGCTTTCGGCATTCATCTTGCCATCTATTATTGATATTCTGCCAACACCTTTTGCAGAAAAACAGCCCCAGATCATGATACTGGCCACCACCAAACTTTACAGTTGGCAACGTGTTCTTTGGTAAGTAGACTTCACCGTCCTTCCTCCACACATGATTTCGATAATTATAACCAAACAACTCTATTTTAGTTTCATCTGTCCATAGTACTTTTCCCAAAACGAATATTCTTTATCCTTATGCTCTCTAACGAATTTTAGCCTCGCATCTCTGTTGTTTCAAGAGGAGTAGAGTATTCCATGGGATGTGTGATTTCAGACTGTTTTTGTGTAGTTCATTACTTATTGTACGCTTGGTTAATTTAATCCCTAATGCACGCAGATGTTCCTGCAGCTCTTCTCAGGTAACCTGTGGATTTTGTTGGATCCGGCGTCCTAATATCCTTGCTGACCTTAGAGAAATCTTCCTCGGAGCAACTGTTCGTCTTTGGTTTTCAATGCTGTTATGAGTTTTAAACCTTGCAATGAACGAAGCAATTGTAGTAAAAGGAATATTCAGGTTCTTAGAAATAGTTCTGTAACTGTTCCCATCTTTCCAAAGAGACAAAATGTGTTTTTCTGAAATAGTCAATTCTTTACCTTTAGGCATTATTAGAACCATCTTGTAAGACTAGAAATTGCAGAATGCTCTGATAATGGCTAATAGCGTTAACTATAATTACTGATAACATTACTGGAACATTCTAGAAACACTTTTTTCATAATTAATTGATTATTTTATTCTTATAATTGATTTGTACGAATACTTTTTTCACCAGTTAGAATAAAAAAAAAAAAAATGCTTTAATTTCTGTTAGAATAAGAAATAACTAAATTTATTATTTTTTAAAAGTATGTGTCTTTATACATAAAATATGCCGAGATTTGTTTTATTTAAGGCTTTTCTTTTACATTTATAAAAATACAGTTTTTTAAGTGTACGAATATTTATTTTCCCCTGTGTGTGTAGGTGTGTGTATATATATATATATATATATATATATATATATATTTTCAATTTCTGTGACCAATGGTTGTCTCTTTCCTTTACAGTAGTAAAAAAAAAAAATGACCAGTCATGAATAGAACCACACCTAAATATATTGATGTCTGTTCTGACAGTGACTTGGATAGTTTGAAATATTTGCTGTTGGGAATGAACAGTAAGAGGTGAAAGAGTGAAAGAAAATTTTTTATACAAAGTTAAGTTCCTAAATTCTCCAATAAAAGTTTGATGTTGATATTTGCTAATGGGTGCTGGAAGGTTTTTAGCTTGGCTCACTTCCAAAAATAAATATTTAGAATAATTTTTTTTTTTTTTATTGTTGTTGTTGGGGGCAGTAGTGGGTCAGGCCAAGAAGAGTTCACATGACCTTCACATGTGTTTTTTTTGTATTATCTTATTTCTCAAACTAACTATATAAATGTTACAAAATATTTAAAGAGTAAACAGGGAATTTAATGACAAGTTATAAAATTTTCTCATCACAACGTTCAATATTTTTATCACTGATCTTGAACTTGTAATTATCAATTGTAAATGTTGAATTGTTTCAGAGTATCTATGTCAAACTCAAAAGAAATAGAATTATTTATTGAGAAATGAATAAATCTATTTCAAAAAGAGGTCAACCTTTGGGACATTATGCATGAATATAAACATGCATACACTTTTATTTTGCATTTTGATTCACTTGTAGAGTTGGTTGTATGTTGAGAAATTAAAATATCTGATTCTGTGCTTCTTTGTCAACATTAAAAAGGAGGTTATGTCATTGTACAGATATTGTCTATAATGAAACTTTGCATAATGGTGTCCCTTTTTTTTCTCCCCCCCCCTTTACTGATAGTAATATATTAATGGCTGACACATGCTTATTAGTTTTCAGTATCTGTCTATATTTCTGAGTTCTGGTATTATGTACACTATTTATATTATTCGGACTATTGTCCTCATCTTTGCCGCCATATTAATTACAATGTTTCGACCTTTCAAAGAGTGTGTTCAAGAACTGGTGGAGAGGGGAATTAACAGGAGATAACTGATATCCATTAAACATGACACATGGAACTAGAACGGTCTACCCCAGTGAGTGAAATAAAGGGTTCAGTTCGGCATTCTAACCACCTGAAGAAGACCGGGGTGTGCAATGGCCAAAACGTGACAAAGATGAGGTCAATAGTCCGAATAATGTAAATAGTGTACTTATTAGTTTTGTTTTGTTGTCCGAGCCTTTTCTGAAAAGACACATGCATGCACACACACACACACACACACACACACACCTCCATATCTACTGTGGTTCATTTATTCATATTTTGATTATGTACAGGTACCCACTCATGACTTTACTTTTAGCTATTTGCATACTTATAAAAGTTTTATTGCTGAACCCCCTTTATTATTTTTTTTTATAATAACAAAAAACAAAATCTGAAATAATTTATAATCTGTATATAAACATCCTCATTGTATATTTACATTTACCTATGGAGTATTGTCCTTGTTATTATCCCAACATTTTACTTTTAAGAACTAGATAAAATATCCCTAAACATAGTGGGAACAGAATAATCTACCATCATAGATTAAAGAAAGGGTTCAGTTTGAAATTCCCTGAAAGTAACCTGGATTGATAAGCACCTAATGAAGGCTAGAGGGTACAATGCCCGAAATGTTAGAATAACATCAAAGATGAGGACAATAGTCCACATGCAATTCCAGTCTTAGTAAAAAAAAAAAAAAACTAACTTGTTTCCTAGTCTGTATTTACATTTACATGACAAACCCCTTTATATAGGCAATGGACATTAGTTAGATAATGGTGGGTGATGAAAGTTTGACCACCTATTTCCACCTTTCCCCAAATAAAAAGAAAAAAAATTGGATTTGTGTGTTGGCCTGAAAAATAAAAGAATATGATAGCTATGTGTCTTGATTGACTTTAATAATACAATTGTGTTAGCAAAAATATACTGTGATTCTTAGAAGAAAAAAAAATTAGGTGAAGGCATATAACACATGTTGGTTGAGACCAACCTATATTTATCTGTGAATGTATTGTCATAAGTTAAAACTTACTGACCCAGATTCCGTTTATGGCTTTTCAGGCTCTTGTTCTCCCCACACCTTTCTCTCCAATTCTCCCTGGCTAAGATTAATTCATTTTAGTCCTGCTACAAACCCTTCAAAAATTTAATTGCATTCACACAAGGCTCTGCCTGGTTATGTGTTTCTTCTATTGATTTTAATTGATATTTCTTAACATGGGAGGAGAATTTGGATTGGCTAAAGACCACTAGAAGACACACTGAAAAACTATATAGGAATTCTAATGAAATATATTCATAATTAAACATCCTCTTGTGAAGTGATTTTTAATCTGGATTTTAATTTGTTCTTCAACAGGTGATTGTTTTCCAAGAAAAAAATGCTTTTTGTGGTTATTAATTGTTCACTTATGACATTGTATTTTAACTTCAAACAAAAAGTATAATTAATTTAATATAATTATATAATTCTTTTGAGATTCTAATAGGAAATATTTTCATATATTTTTCTTTTTTATGTGTATTTTTAACCTTTTTTTTTTTTTTTTTTTTTTATTTGGGAGAAGGCAGTGAAATTCTTAAATAGCTTTAGACA